ATTGTTTATGGGATTCACCAAAGTGGATCTAATGAGGGTCAGGCTCACCGCGACGTGACTCGAAGAGGGCGCGAGGCCAAGCAAACATGACGGAAAGATCACTTCAGACTGTCTCCTCGAATCTCGCCTCCCAGACGGCGTTGAAATGTCGCAACTGTTGTGGTACCAAGACGGCCTCCGTGTCTCCAATGCCTTTCAAAGAGGCAGAGCAGAAAGCCCCTTTCGGTAATGAGTCTAAGGAGATGTCACATGTCACATGTCACATGTCGCCTCTGAAGGGAGGAATCATCAGACATGAATAGCTACAATAGCCGCCAGCCATTCACGATACAATTAATAGTCATTTATTTGTCGCCATAATTATCATTGCATTAAGCAAACATGCAATAAATCACTATCTTTTTCAGAATCTATTTGTCCTGGGAGTTCACTTTTCTAGTTCCCTCCATTTCATAAACCATCTACTCCGTTAGCCTTGCGAGAATGTAATAATTATTAATGAGAATATTGATTAGGAATATAGAATAGACTTTAAATGAGGCCAGGGCTCATAATAGTAAAAGAGTCAGGAACCAGAAGACGTCGAGCCACGGAATGCGGTCAAGGTCGGACAAATGAAATCGGCCAGTTGGGAGGCGGTATTTTGGACATGTGCGCCGACAGTCAATCTGGCCACATGTGGGCAGTTTGCCGCCTGTCGGTCAGTGAGTATGTCGGGTGCCCATGGCGAACATGTGAAGGGCACTGGTCCTGGTTGCCTAAGTCACCTTTCGTGCTCAATCAGGCGTCTACACAAGCGAGAATGAGACCGCCACGTGGTCTAACAGTTGCAGCCGATAGAATGGGAGGCCTGCTTCAGGTTGCCAAGGCCTCGAATCGCGAAAACTGTTGCCGGGTGGACCGGACAAAAGCATAGGCGCTCGTCTGCCGGAGGACATAACCGTTACGGAAGGAATCGGCAAACTATGAGATCTTGTTTTGTGTCCCGTGTAAATACGTTTTCAGCTGCGTCGAATAAGCATCTCCATTAAACGGAATGAAATGGTGATAAATTAATACTACTTATTTCAATTTCGATGTAAGTAGTTTAGATAATATCAGTAATTATGAAATAAGAACTCGATCAACTTAAGATTATTTGAGGACGGATAGCCGAGCCCCACGATGTCAATAAATTTCACTTATCCTTCCCTTCCAAAAAGGGTACCTCATCAAGGATGGTCTGCAGTTTCGACGTAGCCAAGGTCGTGTGCATCATGACCGAGTTAACAGTCTCCCACAAGACAAAGGGTGCCAGTGGATCGCAGTACAGGTTTATCTCAACTGACATTTACAGTGTGACTGTCCAACAAGTAAGCGTGTCATTGCTCTCTATGATGTTACTTAATTTCCATGTGAGTACTTTTCGAGACAATGAGTAATTCACTTTGGTGTAAGTAGAATAATAACAAGAATATGCTGCATATGATGGAGGGAAAATCATCATAAAGTGATGCTGGTAGTCTTGTTTAGTTGAACAAGAGCATGCTTTGTCTGAAGGTGACATCTGCCTCGTGACCTTTTGGTACTCGGAACCGTGTGGCCGAGAGAAAATGTTGTTGCCTGACGGAGAAGACACGATTTGGAGTCCCATTGGGGCTGTTGATGAGGCCTATATGAGGTTGAAACGAAGGCCGTCTTTTTGTAGACGGAGCCAGTTAGGGTGAAATTAAACTACCAGTCCTTACGTCGCATTAAGCGACGAGTAATTGGTTTTGTGTCATGTTTCTCTCAATTCTGTCATACATTGTCATGCCATTGGTTTGGAATTCGGCAGGTTTGTCTTAAACAGGCGGGAAACCGTGACTCGTACTGGATGTCCAGAGCCCGGCGGAAAAATTGCATGATCTTGCCATGAGTTGGCTATCCTTTAGAGTTGATCAAGGATCCGACAAAGTAAAAGGAGCTTTTAGTATTACTAATTAATTATGCTAGTCTTAAAGGTAATTTATGTAGATGTAGTGTGATTTGTTCCTTTGAGCGGCATTCATGAAAACCCTTTACA